AATAGAGTTTATTATATTCTCATACTGTATTTAATATATCTATTTCTTTGTTTTAAACCTGTCTCTGGCTTGCTGTCAAGCCTGAACTGGAGTCAGAGCGAGCATGCTGTAGCAGTCTGAGCACTGGACTAGGACTCTGGAGACCAGGATTCAGATCCACACTCAGCCATGGAAAACCACTGAGTGACAGTGGGCAAGTCACATTCCCTCAGCCTCTGAAAAAGATTATAATAGGTTCACCTTAGGGTTGCCATAAGTTGAAAATGATTTGAAGGCACACAACAACAACAACAACAACATCCAGAAGATGGATGGCAAACATATGCCAAACATGACATAAACATTTTAAAACTAGAAGATGGGAGTATAAATCCACCTACTAAATCAGTAATTTTTGTAAAAAAAAGTTTGGCTGTAAGATACAGATAAGACACTTGGGACAGAGCTGAAGTACTGTCTTGCCCATTAGTAGCTGTATAATGAAGATGAATATGTTAAATAGAGTTTGGTTCCTTTTTTAAATACAGTTCCCAAAATTCCCCAGTTGCTGGGGCCACTAGTATGCTCACTATGAAATTCTAGGAGCTGTAGTTTGCAACCTGAATTCAAATTATCCTAGCAGTTCTTGAAGTAGATCATTCATCTCAAAAAAACAGACCAGGAGACATTTGCATACAACACATGAAGTAGCATATTCCCTCCAGAACTGGAAATTCTTCCATGTGATTATGTTGTACTTCATGTTTGTATGTCCCATTTAATATCTAGATTTAGAACATTACCTGAGTATTCTGCAGTGGTTTGTTTCAGATTTACTGCCTTTCAAATTCTATGCCACCAGAACATTTTTGTCACTTCATTCTAACCCTTTTCTCCTTATCATGGTTGGAATTTTGGTATGTTCACAGAAAAGGGAAAGAAAAGAATTATGTGCTGTTAGAAAAAGTCCAATTATCTTTCATATTTAGATTAACCAGGACACTGTATGCTTTTCATTCTCTTTGTTCACTGTTGGTTGTTTCTGGAGCAAATTGTGCTGTCTAAAGGTGGGAAAGTACTATAAAGAAAGCAACAACAAAAAATTAAATTCCAGTAGCAGAATAAGAGTGAAAGGGAAAAGAAATACAATGTGTCACATGTGTTGTTACTTTTTGTACAGTGAAATGCCCTCTTAAGAGTAAGGATGTGTGGAAATTTAGCTACATTTGCATTTTGATGCAAACCTAGCAAACTTCCTGGATCAATATGCAAAACAATGTGGTTATCCTTTAGTATTTGTACTTTTCATAATTTTGCTGGCTTAGACTCAGGGCTTTTTAAATACCAAAATATTGTGATTCTGGAAGAATGGCCATCTCATAGTCCCATTTTTTCTACATCCCTTCTCATTTTAAACCATATTAAAGCCATAAAAGCCACAAACAACACAAGATAATTTCTCAGCTCTCCTAAATTGTAACTCAAACTATCTCTCTCTTTCTGTCTCTGACTTCCAGTCAGTAGTGATGGTGGCTCCCATTGTCAAGGAGCTATCCAACATGCTGAACTTGTTTCGGGCATAGGGTTCAGAAACTTGGATTTCTTCTTGTTGTTGTGTGCATCCAAGTTATTTTTGATTTATGGTGACTCTAACGTGGACTATCATAGGGTTTTCTAGGCAAGTTTCTTCAGATAAGGTTTACCATTGTAATCTCTGAGGCTGAGAAAGTATGACTTGCCCAAGATCACCCAGTGGGTTTTTATGCTTGAGCAGGGAACTGAACCCTGATCTCCAGAGTTGTAGTCCAACACTCAAAGCACTACGCCATGCTGACTCTCACAGAAACTTGGCAGTGAGTCTGCTCCAGATTTTAGTCCAGATTTTGAAAGAGAAACTTGGATAGCTCTTTCAAAATCTGAAATAAAATCAGGAGCAGAATTACTGCCCCCACTGATATGGAAGCCATGAGACCCTACTGACTCCCATATTTTTTTATACAACAAAGAGGAAGGAAATCATGAGTTTTATCCAAATCAGAATCCATTCCCAAAGCACAGCCTCTTTGGGAAATGTGCCTTGGTACAGAGGTGGGAATTGGCTGGCCTATGCAGGCCTCATGTAGGGACACTTCTCTAGAATCTCACATTTCCCCACCCCGCCCACCCATAAAACATCCCAAATGGAAAGCTATAGGCCTCAGAGGGGAGCAATTCCCCATTGAACTGCTACTCTTCCCTAACATACCTCAAAATGGCCCCAAATAGCTGAAAACAGTAATTTTCTATGCTTTACAAGGTGTAGCCTACAGGGATTCTGGGTGTGTGCATGTGTGTGTAGGGAAATATGAGATCACTAAGTTAGTGGTTAGAGTGGTCTCTGGTCACCAGAAGAACTTGTCAGCAGTGTACACAGTTGTGCTAAAGTTGGTATGGAAATGTCAACACATAGCTCAAGTGGGCATAGAGAGAGTCATGATTTCCCCTTAGCAGATGTAAGGACATGTTGACTAGTAGTTGGTTAGCAAGCATTGAGATTTCATATAAACAGCTATAGGCAAACACCCTTGCAGCCCCAGGCATAAATTACTTGCCCCTACTAGCATATTCACAGAATTTAGAAATTTGCTAGAAGTCCATACCCTCCAACATTCCACAGATGAAACATGTGGCCAAGCAATATCAAAGTTTGATGAAGATGACAAAGGTTGTTAATGAAGAAGAACACATAGGCTAGGAGTAGTTGAAGCACTTTGCTTTTACCTGAGCCTATTGAGAAAGGCAAAATTCTATCCCCTGGTCTGCTCTCTCTCTACTGAGTTAATTGAATTCAGTTTTCAACAATTGAAGTAAGCTGATGACAAAAAGGGAAAGTGAGGAGAGAAGAGAGGAACCAGTGCTGTTATTAGGGGGTGCATGGGGTGCAGACCACATCATGTGACACCCAAAGGGGGTGTGACACCACTGCTCCTCTGCCAAACACCTACCTTTTGGCAGAAACGGACTGTGGCATTCACCTGCTTCCCTTTAAAATGCTTTAAGAGATAGTGGGAGTGGGATGAAGCTCAGTGGGAGGAAAAAGGAAAGGCACCAGAATTTTTTAAAGTTAAAGTTCAAATGTCAACATTTTAATTTTGTTAAAAAAATTGAATTTTTTTTAAAAAATATTCTTTTAAATTTTTCTTTAAAAACATCACATTTTAACCAAGTCTTCACTATGTATATATAAATACATTTAGGTTGTGCATATGATATTGTAATTTCAAGACATAATTTTAATTTTGCTGGTTGTTTATTCACAGCTATTAGCATTGCATT